GGGGGCGCGGAGCTCTGTGTTTTCCAGATTTCGTCGCAGTTTTCTAGACACCCTATCGGGACATGATGCCGCGAAACGACCTCGCAGGGAAACGACTTTGTCGGGAAATTACCGCTAAATCTTACAGTGACTTTCTAAACCATATAACCAATTATTTTCTTGCAATCTGCAAACAACCCAAACGCGTACTATTGTCTATAGATTGAATGCACAGACAATTTATATCGGCCTTATAGTGCATAAGTTAAGACCTCGACATGGGATTTGTCCGTTAAAAAACGAATGTTGAACTCAAGAACCATAATTAGTTTTCCACAACCGGCCGAATTTGTTCAAAAACAGTAGTAAGGTTGCGGTTTTGTAATGCATTAAGGCAATGTAGTTGGTGTCATAGGACGAATAAATTTTTTGGACAGTGATCTTTGTCGCTTGTGTGCATGTCGTATTCGGTTTTTATTTGGAACTCCTCCTGCATGAAAGCTTAATGTGTGACCTTCGAAAAGACACACTGTTTAATAACTGTTTCGGTTTTGAAAGACTAGGAAGTTGTTTCTCTGGAAGGGGGACCATTATTTCCCAAACGTGGTAATGGCATCATCGTTTTACCCTAGAGATCTTCCTGTATTCACAGCTATGAGTAAGTTAGCTGTACCAAAAGAGAATATTCTCTCTTTCTGTACCCACACGTGACTACTGGTATCCATATCAGAACAGGCTATATGTATAAGGAACCAAAACAGCTGAGAACTCAGCAACCAAGATCCAAGAATGAATACGCAACCTCGTTCCCAGAGAAAGACTCCCTCTCTTGTTCCGCAGGCACAACTAAGAGAGGACCCTGGGAACGAGGTTGATGAATGTGGCTGCGTCGACTGCGTCGTTAAGAAATTCAGGTCGAGCACCAGCCCTAGGTAACCTCTCTTACCCTTCGTCAGAACGATTCGTTCCGACGATAGGCTGGCCGAAGAGAAGTAGATATGAATGTTTATTTCCGCCATTATGTCTGCAATTTAAATGAAGCTAAATAAGTTACATCCTTATGCTTTGTCTTGGCGATTTTAGTGAACTTATATTTTTCACTGAGGAAAACTGTGAAAATAAAACTTCAAAAAGAGACCCTTCATCTGACTCTCCTCCACTCATTTCCTAATTTCTCTATTTCAGAATTCAAGGAAAAAAAACTATGTTCGTTACATTGGCTTCCTGTCAAATTTCGTGTTGATTTTAAAATACTCCTCCTTACTTCTAAAGCCTTTCTACGGTCCGTGCGCCTGGTTACTTGATTGACTTGATTGCTATTATAGAACAGCTGCGCTATAATCTCCGTTCAGCCAGCGGTCTCATCTTAAAGACTGAAAAAGATTTTAGTGGATCGTGCCTTTTCATCTGCGGTCCCCGAATTTATGTAACAATCTTCCCCTTCACTTCGTCTTGACGACAATTTTGAATGTTTTAAATCTTTACTTGAAACGCATCTTTTTAGACTAGCTTTTGATATGTAATGTTTTTCACCTGCTTTGTAATATATTTAGTCCTTTAATTTTTATTTAAATTGTTGGCGTTGTTTACTTTTTAGCCTTAATTGCTATGTTCATTTTAGCTTTTGTTTTCTTTTAACATTTAAAGCGTCAGTTGTTCTCTTCTGCTTTCCCGTCACCCCCTGCTCCCGCCGTGCGTTACGCGCGAAGACGACTGGGGACTGGGTATTTAGTTTTTCGTTGAAACACTATTGAAGCTGTGATAGCTTTAGATCTGTTCGATCCGTTTTTCTCTAGCTCTCTCCCTCTCTCTGTGACGTCTATCTTTCTTTCCCTAGCTGTGAAATTAAATTAAATTACCGAGAAAATTCTACTCAGCCACAGCGTCCTTTTTTATAATTAATATTTGCAGCGGTTTCTTAACATAACTGGATGACCGTTTATTAAGCTTTCCAGGCTTCATAAACAATCATGCGTCAATAAAGAAAAAGGAATATGAATTTTCATTGAAAAATTGAGACAGGTGCAATAAGACTTACGTAATTTTTTAAACACGACTGAATATATGCAAAGTGCGAATTTTTCATACTGTCAGGCAGAAGGTCAGAAATTTGCTCACACCTTGGTATATGGATTTGATTGAGTTCATGGGTTTTTTTAAGCTCAGTGCGGTTGATGCATTATTTACAAGGTGTTAAAAGGTAACGGTAACTACGGCAGGACATCGTGGTCTCGCCATCTGCTTAAGTTATAAGCCATTAAGTGATCAAGTGGCTCCGTACCTCATATGAACAAATTCAGAAGAAGTTAATGCAGTATTTTTGACGAGCCATTTCGCCCTTGAATTCAAAACCGTTTCCAAAAGTTAACTGAAATTGTAACTCCACCTTGTAAATTACCAGTAGGTTCTTTACAAACTCCATACCAGGTCTACAACAAACATGGCTAACGGAAATTGGCAGTTTAACTTGGACAATATTATGTACATTGTCAACAGCTTCTTGTCCTATTCCAGCATTATGCTAAACATTGTAGCAATACATGCCCTCAGAAAGACACTTTCGCTACCAACAACGTTAAAAACGTTGCTTCTGAGCCTCGCTGTTTCTGATCTTGGTGTAGGATTGCTTGTCCAACCTTGGCGCATAGCAGGTTTGGCAATGGGGCTACTTCAACACGACGGACGACCAAACTTTACCGTGTATATCGCTTATAAAATAACGATGAATGTATTTTATTATGCCTCATTCCTTGGTGTCATGGTTCTAGCAGTAGAGAGATTCTTGGCCATTCATCTTCATCTCCGATACCAGAGACTTGTGACTCACAAGCGTGTTGTTACCATAGTGATCTCACTTTGGGTGATAAGTGTGTTCCTTTCGTTGTTTATGTTAGAAATTCGGAAAGTCCGCCTTGTTATTTATACCACTGTTGAAGTTTT